AAAGAGTGAAATAAATATAAACAAACTAGTAATCAAAATGAAATTTGTTGGGAAAATTGAGGATCATTCCAGTTCTTAGGGAAGTTATGCACTGTCTGGCGTTCAGAGCTGGGACGTATGTGCAATGATCTGTGTCAGTAGCGAGGGCGCTTCCTCTGGGTCTCTCTAGGTAGCGATAAACAAGGATATAGTTTTTAGTTGCTTGACAGGGGAAAGAAAAAGCCAAACCCAACCCCACAGCTCTCAGTTTGTGTGAAGACGTAGAACTGAAAATATATATAAGCAAAAAATATGGAACAGGTTAAAAAAATGAAATGCTCAAGCTCACCCTACTAATGGCTCAGTACTAGCTGTGCCTCTGAAGTGCTGTTTTGCATACCAGACCTTGCCCTGGTGCTCCTGAGTTAGTTGGTACCTGTATGGTGTTTGTTTTATGGGGTGGGTAAGTGGTACAGAAGTGGCGGACAGGCAGTACTGCTTTTTTGGTAGCAGAGATGATGGCTTTCTGTTCCCCCAGGCCCAAACCCTGGCCTGTAGAGGCGTGCTTATTTCCTGTGGTTCTTTGAAATGGCAAGAGAACTGCCCCACAGCTGGATGTAAAACAAAGCCAGCGCTTACATGCAGTCTCTGAAACTGCACGTAACTTTAACTTTCTCTAAAACAAGTATTTACATTTCAGAGAAGAAACTGCTTTCTGGCCTCATACTTTCTTTCCCTCCCTCCTATCCTCAATGCAGCGCTACAGGCATTTCTCATGGAGACGTGGATGAAAACTTCTGGTGAACAATAGCTACTGCTTTTTTTTATTACTACTATTACTACTACAATACAAATGTTTTTAAAGCTGCTTTCTACCTGTAAGAAGTCGTAATAAATGTTAGGCACAAAGATTGCAGGCTCTATAATGACAAATTAATGAAGCTGATTTTCAGCTGTCTCATCGCTTCAGTCATTGATGTCAAAGAGGGAGTCTGGACATGTTGTTACTACTGCAGAAAGAGACCCTTGAGCGGGGTGAGAGACAGGACAGAGCTGTGTAAAGCACCGCAGCGATGTGTTCAGGAGAAGTGGCTCTGGCACTGAATTCCTGTAAACTCTGACAGTTTATGAAGTGCTGCACCCCAGCCCCTTCCCCTCCAGCTGTTACAAACTGCCTGCACCCCTCTTACTGCCACTGCCGGGGAAACAAGTGCCTGGGAAAGCAGCCCTACTGTTGTGTGTGTCACCTTGTTGGTATGAACCGGCCCAGAATGGAGAGATTCAGATAAAAATGCTATTTAACTCATCTTTATTTAAGCTTTGTATTTTGTAGGTAGATTATAGGCAAGATCATTAAACTTTATTTACAGTATAAAACACAGTATTTTTTACCAATGAAGTAGTTTTGGGTGGCAGCATATATTACAACTTGCAGTGCATCTGAGGCTGCTCGTCTTGACCTAACTAATTCCAGGAACATGAAGCCAAGTTTGACAGAATTTAAGAGCAAAAACTGAAGCACCGTCCTGTGAATTCACTGGACGATGAAACATGATGTACCAAAACCACAACAGAAATAAACTGTGCTTTTAGAAATTAAGATGAAAAGCAGTGGAAAACTTTGTTTTTAGAAATTAAGATGAAAGGTGGCCAGTCCAATTTTATATGCTGCTTGGTGTGGTGGTGGCAGCAATGCTGGCCTGTCCAAAATGTCTGAGACAGCTCCTGTTCCGTGTCCAGAAGGGGAGGGGTAGCGCTTGTTGCATCATGCTGGCCTGGAACAGCCACTGCTACTTCATCCTACCACGCTGAGGCCGTCACCCCCAGGGCATCCATCCCTTCCCTGTACATCAGCAAAGGGATGCTATTGAACAAAAGGCATTTCACTTCAGCTAGAGACGTAACAGCCTAGAGACGCACTAGTGTGGAGTAGCTGCAGGTCTGTTTTCAAATAAGCATACACAAGTGTTGTCTATTATCTACAAATATTTATTTTAACACTTGGATGTAACTACAGGAAGCCCTTGGCACTGATAGAAAATATTGATTCACTGTTAGGTTACAAAAATTTATACATAGCAAAAATTTAATGCTCTTTACATAAAAATATTAGACTACTTAAACAAAACTTCAAAAACTCCCAGTAATAGCTACACTGAATTAGAAAAGAATTAGGCTTTAAGACACTGCCTCCATTATTACCCTTATGCAAACACTGGGCTAGAACACCACCTGCATTGCCGTAGAAATGTCTCCTTCATGCAACAGGTAAGAACATACACTAGGCTATTTCATCATAGTTGCTCTACATTGATCAACCTTTGCCCCTTGTTTGAAACTGTCAAATTAGACTTCATTATTTAACCAAAAAAATCATAGTTGAAGTTAAAACCCCCCAAAATGCCTTTTCTCTTAATACTGACTTGAAGAAATTTGTGCTTCCTTTGATTTATGTTCAGCAAACAGTCAAAACTATCAAACCACACGTCAGCTTAACATGGGTATGACTTGAACATCGAATTTTTCAAATGACTGATGTATTTTACTTTTCCCCCCAACATTTATATATATATATATAATCATATAGAACAAACACCAAATATACCATCACTAATACTCAAGATATCACTGAATGCTTCTGAAAAAAACATTAATTAGAAGGCAGACTTCTATGGGAAATGACTTTAAAATGGCACCAGTTGGATTTTTTTTTTTCTGAACACCACATTTTCTTCATGTGCTAATTAATTTGTAAAAAGGAAAACACATAAGCACTGACTATAAATTTGCTAAGCACCAAGATAGAGAAAGGTGGACATCCTGTATTCTGTTTTATGGCTGTAATGTTTATTGTTTGTGTAAAACTTGGCAAACTTTCTCATCTGCTCATTTGGACTAGTCAGATCAATGTCATTTTAATAAGGTAACACTTTTCACTTACTTAAAATGTAGGATAATGGTCTCCTGCCACTATATAAATGCTAAGACATTTATAGAAAATAAATATTAAGGCAAGGCTGACATTTATTTTCAAAGAAGGGGATCATTATCCAGATCTGGGGACCTACATTCCATTAAATAGTTAATAAAAAGATTAAAACTTGGGACATCTGCTCAACACTGACGTAAGCACAGGAGCGCGATTGCTTCATCGTGAAAGAGTGCGGCACAGAAGCAGAGTGCCACTGAAGCAGAGTGCCACTCCTGCAGCCCCTGTAAGGAGCATTCAGAGGCAGCCCCATCGCCGCTTGGGAGCCACCACCTAAGCAGGAGCTGTCGGAAATCGCAGCCGGCCAGAGTTTCACATGAGTGTGAACTGCGAAATGCCGAACCAGGCACCCTACGCGCACCTTTGCCTAAGGTCTGCGCAGGAAGCTACTGCCTGCTGGTTTGGAGCACCTGCCACCGTTTTGTGCAGGACGTCATGCTGGAGAAGGTGTCAAATACTAAATACCAAAAAGTCTCGAAGAAGAATAATTTGGTCACTTATTGTGAAGTGTTGCCTTTTAAAATGCCTGGAATAAAACCTCCATTCTCTGTCTGAAAGGATGGAAGATTACCCACGGGAAGATTTCCCTATGAATGTGTTCCAGGAGCTGGAATGTGAAGCTTTTGCACTTCTAATTTTGTTTGGTAGACACACATCTGTACTGCAGAGCAGCTAGTTGTTGATTTGTCAATTCTGCTGAATTACTGTGGCAAACATTTATGTGTAAGAATTGAGTTGCTCTTTTGACCGAGACTGGATATCCTGAAGCTCCTGCTCTTCTTTTGCTTTGATATCTTGGTAGGCCTGCATTTTGCTTGCATCCTTTAAGTAGGCCCAGTTAGAAGACAGTATCATGAGGAAGTGGATCTGGAAGAGAAGGGTGAGCATGATGGCTAGTGAGCATGTCAAGAGGCAAAGCAAGCTGCTAGTTAGATTAATAGACGCTCTTTAAAATAACGACAAAAAAAAAGTTATTCTACGTTAATAAGCATTCTGTTATTAAAACAAGCACAGAGGCTGTTTTCAAAGACCTCTAGAATTTGGCATGCTAATACTTCAGTTGGTTATTCACAATTTAGAGAACGTTAGTATAACAGTAACAAAACACGCTACAGAGTTGTACAGATCAATTAAAATGCAGAATGGGGGGAAGCAGGAAAAAACATTTTGTACATGGCAATATATATATGTAATCTGTGAACTACGAGGTGCTCAGAAGAACTGCGTTCTAAGGCTGTGGTGTTTATGCATATCCGAGCCCAGATCCTGGTAATTCTTTTCCCCCAACAAGCAGATGAGAATTCCACCCTAGCCCTGGAAAAAGCCTGAAACTGTAAACAGCTTTATTGACATGAACAAGGCTACATTAACATATCGAAAAATTAAACAACAAAACATGAGCCCAAAACTAAGCAAAAGCATGCAATCTCTGGGTTAAGAAGTCTTAATTGTATATTTTTATAACTACATTTTAAACTCTCACCAACCTCAGGTGAAGAGTTTTATATCATGTATAGCAACTGTTCGTGGGGTTTTTTTTTAAATTATTGTGTGGATTTTTTTCTGTTTTGTGCATTCGTCTCCTCCCAACTTCTTTTCACCATACTTCATGCAAAAAAATCTACATCTGAAAACACCAATTTCACTTCTCTCATGTTCTCCCCCGCCTTGCCAACAGTGTAAAAATGTCTCTGTGATCTATGCATGGTTTTGCTTCCCGTGCAGTCATACTTACATTTTTGAGATCTGGCTACTGAGGAATCAGTTACTAAAGTACAAGCCATACAAGAACAGAAGCTTTTTATACGCTGTTTCTTCCTAGTTCAGGGTCCAAAAGAAAGGATGTGATTGTTTTACGCAGAGCTAATACAGGGATATGTTTGCCTTCCAGAGAGAGCATGATTGGGCAATTACTTGAAAATGAAGTAAGGGAAAATAATCAACTTCATCCACGGAATCGCTGGCAATACAAGCCAATTAATTCCTAATACCTGGGCTTCTGATTTCTGCCAAAGGAGACTGGCACTATTTCATTAGTCCTTTTCTTTCGCATCGTATGTGTTTTGTATGCTCAGGGAGGGGGGTCGTATTTGGTGTGCAGGATGAAGAACGTATTAATAATTCTGACCCTGAACCATTCCAGTATCTGCTTTAGAGATGACTGTCAGAAAGCAAGTGGAGACTTGAAATGGAAGCACCCCCTCTTCAGAAGGATGCTTATGAACACCTCTATAGTAACTGAATCCTCTCGACATGGAAACATAGCCAGATCTCATCCACATCATAGTTCATATACAAGCAGTCACTTTATTAATCTGATAAGCTAAATGATGCTTACTGAAGCTATTTACAATTACTGTAACAAAATTCAGAAAGCTAGACTTTTTAGCCTAGGGTGTCAGTGGTATTTCAAGCTACGCAATGCAGCTCTTTACTGGGCTTATACAATTTAGAATTTAGTGCAGCAATCTTCCCGACTCTTAAACTTCAAAACAGCATAGTTATATGTAGTAGCCATCATGTAGATCAGCTGGTGGAAGAGAACAAAATACAGGAGCGTAAGATACAACAAGGTGACGGCTCAAGCCCATTTGGGCAACTGTCGATACTTCTACAACAGACGTTATTCTGAGCTTCTTCCAGGGTGAAGATGCAAGGTAAATAACTTGCCGTTTATCTGGAGAGGATAACCTACCTACAGACCTAAGGCTATTGCATCAACAAATAGCGAGTATTACACCTGGGCTTGGCTGACAGGAGGTTAGAAGCTGGCAGCTAGAGGAAGCGTTAGACATATGAAGCAAGTCATCTTGTTAACGTCCCTTTTTCCAGCTGCTACCTGTAATTGGCATTGCAGAGCTGGGCTAGTCAAACTGCCTGGGTCCAGACAAGAAAACTGAGAGGTTACAAGCACTTGATCAAATAAACTACAAAAATGAAAAGAAATAGTGGACATTAAAATAGAAGTAGGGAGTAGAAGTATGATTTTTCAAAGGATGAGCAAAGAATTTTATTTAAGGATGGGGGAGGTGGGTTAAGATGACTCCTTAAAGCAAAAGTTTGGCACCTGCTGACCTGCAATGACCAAATCATAGCAGCAAATAACAGCGCTTGCAGCTCGCCCTCCTTCTGTCTAGTATCACTCTTTTTAAGATGCATAAAATTTAATCTTAAAGCATCTTAAGCCTGAAAGGAACATGTTACACAACAGAACAACAAAAAATGCTACTCACCAGTGCTATGACAGTGGCGCCAGCTCCAGCACAAGCCACAATGAACAGGTGATAAGACATGTAGAACTAGAGAAAAACACGTTAAAAACATTGAAGCAACTGAGGATAGTATAAAAGGCATTTCAACTGTTCTAGAAAATAAGGACAATAACATCATCTTCATAGCAAGGTATTCACAGCTTCAGAATATAAAAATGTTCGGAAATAATTTTCATTTTCTGGATGACCTAACACAGAATAATTTCAGTGTTGTGTTTAACTCCATCTCTTTATAATATTAGTATTAGTTTTCTCAAAAAACCTTTCATCAAGTTATTTATTACACAGTGCCCAAGCGACTTGGAGGCAAAAGCTGCACACAGGTATATGCTTCTGTACCTCATTCGTGTTGCAGATGTTCTCTAAAATCGGGCCACAGGCTTTGCCAGGTACAGCATTCCACGGGATAATACCTGAAATACCACAGCAAAAGAAACCACTGATTCTAGCAATCAACACATGTTTTCTGTTCCTCTCTCATCTTTTCCTCCCACTTGCCAGTTGTGTTCCCACTCTGGGCATCCGCACGTTGACCGGTACAGCTTTGAGTTGGCGGGAGGAATTAAAACAACTCAAGTTGTGCTTTCTCCCTATACCGAGGCTCACTGCCAAGACACGTTCTCAGATGTGGTTTTCCCATATGGCAGCCAAATGGTTGGTTGGGTTTTTGCGCTTCAAGTCCAGTCACATACTGCTTACTCCCCCACTCAGCACTGAAAGGGTCAGTCTGCATCTCAGAGGTACTTGGCACCTTTCAGGATAGCACTTACTAGATTAAGTTCTCCTTGAACAAGTAACTACTGCAGAAGACTGAACATGGAGCTAGAGGGAAGAATTACGGGATTTTTTTCTGGTTTAGTCCCAACAGGTAAAAAGCATTAAGTGAACACTGCAACAAGAAAATCCAGTCTGCGGCACCTCACGTACTCCCAATTACTTTTCTTGCATGACTGAAAATCTGAAAAGTCAACAGGATCTAGCAGACTGAAAATAACCTCCACTTTTAGGCCTGTAACAGACGTAAAGCTTAAGCAAAAGCCATTTGAAGAAGCCGTTGAAGCCAGTCTCCCCCCATATAACTTGCATTTCAAACTCAGCTGGTTGGAATTAGCAACTCTGAAAGGGGCAGGTCATTGAAATTATCTCAGGATGGAATGGCTTTCAAAAATATTTTATAGGATTTCCTTTAAAGCCAGCTTCTCCTCTGCATCTGCAGTATACACTTGAAGCCTTTTAGCTACCACTTCCATCCAAAAATGTGAGGACAGTTCAGTGACACGAGTTGCCTGTTAAGGAGCTGCTCCCTCCCATCACTCACTGAAACCCAAATGGTTTTGCTGATCAGAGGGACAGCACAGCCCTGCGCGGCACCTGTACAGCTGCAAAACAACCAGGAGAAGCACAAAGGTGGAGGAGCACGTCTTCTCCCTGCACT